CCCTTTCTCCTGGCTACCCTCAATTTCTGCAGCCTGTGCTGGAGAAGCTTTCCCACCTTAGAAGCCACATCTAAGAGATTGGCCATTAAACACAGAAACGATATAGTCCAATGCACAGAGACTCACCCCCACTCCACCCCCTAATACTTTATTCAAGAACTGATAATTATTCCACAAGGCAGAGTATTTTTGAAGATTCCCCAGGATCACTATGGAATGCACTCTATAGACATCACTGAAAAAATGTTGCCATAAGATCATTTAGTGCTTTTTAGTGTAGATGATTTAGTCATATAATAAACTACCGTACACTAGTCTTCAAGGAAAAGACTTTTGTTTACAGGAGTGCAAGAGTGCCCTGGGACAACCCTAGGATAGTATTATGCAGGCTTATTTGTTCATGATTGTATTGGACTACTGCTGTGAACATTTTCTTAGCCAGAGGATGTGGTCAACTTGCTTTAAATCAATGAATAACATTGCTTTTTTACATGCAATAATATTGCAAGCTTCTTAATTACTGATGCAATTTGATTTCTAAGACTAATATTGGTAATGTGAAGATTTGGGGATTTTTAAAACATGGATTAAAAATGAATAATATTATATATATGTCAACCTGCCCAAGCAGCTTTCCTAGATGTGTTGGCTGGGCATTCTGAAACTGTCATTTTCTACCTCTAAAGGGAACCCTGACAGGGACAGTTGATGTGTACATATACAGTGTGTGGGAGGGGGACACTAATTATTCCCATTTAGCTCACTAATCATCAATCAAAATAAGACAGGAATGGATGGTGTCACTTCACTAACTTGCCTAGCCTCATACTAGAGCAAAAGAAAATCACATCATTTACAGGAATCCCTCCATAGTGCAAAATTTAACAGGCAGCAAGTGACATTTAGGTCACAAGTAATAGGTTAACCTAAATGCAGGTATTGTGGAAATATTATACTGCCAGAAAAAATGGCAGTGTTTCATGAGACTTCTCCAACTGTTGTAAACTCCAGGCTTCACTTATTTTCATGTAGTTTAGTGGCTTACCTGCATAGCAGTATAACTGTGATACCAATCTGAAATAACATGAGGAAAACTAAATCATTCTGCAAGCCCACAGTGTGTTCAGTTGGCCCTAGAGCAGTGATGGCTAACCATTTTGCCATCGCGTGCTGGGGCGGGAGGGTCATGTGTGTACGTGCCCACATCCATAATTCTATGTGTCCACCCCATGCGCACCCCCGACTCCTGGCACGCGATGGTCTGGTAGGCTCATTTTTTTCTCTCACCTGGGTCCAGAGCCTCTCTAGGAGTCTGGGGAGGGCGAAAATGGCCTCCCCCCCCCAGAGGCACCAGAAGTTGACAAACGGGCCATTTTCAGCCTCCAGAGTACCTCTGGGGGGTGGGTGGGGAAGGCCGTTTTAGCTCTCTCCAGACTCCTAGAGAGGCTCTGGAGGCTGGGGACAGCAAAAAACAGGCCTTCCGGTCCCACAGGAAGTTGGCAAAGGGGCTGTTTTTGGCCTCTGGAGGACCTCCAGGGGGTGAGGAAGGCCGTTTTCGCCTTTCCCAGACTCCTAGAAAGGCTGTGGAGCCAGGTGTTAGAGAAAAACGGGCCTTCCCCATCTCCACCCGAGGCCCTCTGGAGGCAGGAAACAATCTGATGGGCCCAGAAGGCCCCAAAATCAGGTGGCTGAGCTCACGTGCCCACCGATATGGCTACGCATGCCATCTGTGGCACGCATGCCATAGGTTTGCCATCATGATCCTAGAAGATTTGGGTCAATTCTTTGTCCAGTAATCATATCTTAATGTCAAAATAATATTAGCAATTGCTGAACAAGCATTAACTAAATACAGGGATAAAAACTTTCCCAGTGTTTCTCTTTCCATTCTTGCTTGTGAAATTAAAGCACTTCAGGCAGAAATGGTTACGATACTTCTTATAGACTTGAGAAGACTATAAAAATGAATTCATTATTGATCTCATTGTGATGTTTTTCTCACATGTTCCCTTTTTAATGGGAACAGGACTTGCATGATATCTTGGCTATTGCTCATACAATTATTGGAGCTAAAGATTAAATTAAGTGCTAAAGACTGACAGGAAACAAGAACCACAGCTAAAGCAAGAGAAAATGGTAAAAAACAAATAATTCTGCTTCCTTTCTGAAATTAATGGATTGTCACATTTAAATAGCACACGAGTCACTTATTTACAAGCATTTGGAGTACTAAAAATATCGGCAAGTATATATATATCATTATTCTATTGCCTCTAAATGTTTAAAAGGTTGATCTCTATTCTTATACACTTATATGGCATTTTCCTTTTTACAGCACGGATTTCACCATCTTCCAGTGGCATCATATATCAACCATATCTGATTTTCTAGTAGCTAGAACAGGAAATGAAATAGTCTAGCTGTCTTTCCAAGAAAAAAAGGAGGACAGCAGCACAATGGACAGATTCACTAATAGTGCTGATCCCTTCACCATTGGGATACATTGTGCCTAAATCACCACCAATTTGGTGGCATATAATATATAAATCAAGTGTCTTCCCATTAGTATTAAAAGCTGCTTGTTAATTAAAGAAACTTTAAAAGAAACCCATCCTTTGTTAATTAGTATATATTCATATTATAAGCTATCATGCAGAAATGTGTATTAAAATTTTTACGTCACCCACATGAACATGCAAATATAAGTTATTCCTTTCTCTACATGGCAGATCCAAAATATGTTTTAATGTTTTCTAATAGCTACAATGAAGATAATACATTTTTGAAAGAACTCTTATTGCATTACCAAAGATTGATACAGTAAAAATCCAATAAAATCATATAAGGTTTTACTGGTAAGATATGGTTTTTAATACATTGTCTAATGAAAATTCAATGTATCCAACAACAATAAAATATATCTAATTAACATTCATATCCTTTGTTACAAAACAGGCTTTTCTTATATTCATTATCCATCCAAGTACAAATAATGCAGGTTGCATAATAAATAGAGTAACAATGTTGCACTGAAAGATATCTGAAGAGCAAATAATATCAATTGTCAAGCAATTAACGTATAAGATGCACCAGACCATAAGATGCACATTAGCTTTAGAAAAGGAAAACAAGAAAAAAAATCTGTCTCTGCCTCCTAGCATCCATCTGGTATTCATCTGCGTCCTTGCAGCAAACACCAAACAGCCTGGTCAGCTTCAGCACTAATTCGCAGCCCCAGCATGTGGCTCATCAGGGCTCTGCTCCATTGCGCCATCACCAGTCAACTGAGCTGAGCTGCTGCCGCCGGCAGGATACACTGGAGCCTTTACTGCTGAGCAGCTGATTGGCGGTTGGATTGGCCTCCTGGAATACTGCCGATCAGCTGTTCTAGGCGATGGGGATCACCACCGCCGCCTATCACCACCCCTAGAGCAGTTAGTATTCCAGGAGGCTGATCCAACACCAATCAGCTTCTCAGCAGCGAAGGCTCCAGCATTCCCCAATGGCAGCAAACAGTGGCAGCGGTGATAGGCGGTGGTGGTGACAGGCGGCAGTGGTGACAGGCGGCAAATACCGACGCTGCACCAACCCCCTCCCCCCTGCCGCAATATTCACTCTATAAAATGCAGATATTTCCACCCACTTTTTTGGGGGGGAAGTATGTCTTATAGTGCAAAAAATATGGTATATAAAACTAGATGCTCCAATTAATTATTACATTAATCATTAACTAAAAAGATTGGCTAGAAAGTCTCATTGTCCTTGTAGGGTGGAATTATCCATGTCACCTGTAAGTGACATTGGGGTGGATTGTGGGGCAAAAAAGTTGTCTCAATAGCAAAGTTTGAATTTTGCATATAGTGTCCCAGTTTCAGTCCTTAGCTATGAATACTATATTTGTCTAATACCTGAAGAATCACAAGCAGCAATTGTAGACTAAAAATAAGCTCATCCTCTCCTATAAATACCTACAATTCCCACCATGCACTTTATCTCACCATGCACTAGCTGGGTTTGCTAGAAGTTGCAGCTGAGGAGAGCTACAACTTTCTCAAGTCAAATGCAAATTCAGTAATTCAGAAACAGATAGTTTAATAATAGACAGTTTGTCATGGACAAAATTTATATGTTGCTAAGAGTCATCACCAATCAATCATGTAAGTTCTTTAATAACTTGGTAACTATAGAAGACCTAGAATACATTCCAGGATAACATAGGTCTAAAGGAGTAGGCCAATCTTAGCATGTGAATCACAAATTAAAGTGTCTGACTTGTTAAACACACTTGTATACAGACAATTTGCATGTTTTCTATTACTAGGTCTTGATATTTAATTTTTTTATTTAGGGAAAATATTTGCCATTTGTTAAATCCACTTCCATTTCTCTTATTATTAGCACAACCTCAGCTTACGTCAGTGCACATTAACTTTTAATAAGGAAAGCCCCATACCTTCCAGCACAACAAATGCTTGTTTGTTAAGAGGGGGAATTAGTCAAAGAGTAAGGGAAGCTGTTCATTTCTGCGGTTTTCAGTCATTTCCTTCCCATATAACTCAGAGGTAACGATCAGTCTTTAGATTCACTTTAAACAGAATACTACTCAGTGCTGCATACTTTTTGTACACTCGTAGCATAACTTTTTCCTCCCAGCTGCACAGTCAATCCATTTAATAAAATGTGCTCGGGTAAATGTAAGGCTTTCTGGCACTGCAGCTTGCTCATCTCCCTGGATAAATTGCCTGGAAATGAAGCTACTTTAAGGACTTTGGCCAGTCACTTTCTCTCTTACCTGAGCTGACTTCACAAGTCTGTTTTTGCAGGAATAAAATGAGGGAAAACTCCACACATGCCTCTTCAACTCTCAGAGAAAAAGCAGAAGATAAATGCCATAATAAAAATAAAAACCAAGCATGTGGATTAATATGAAAACCGAATACTGACTGTTGAAAAGTAAAAACCATTTATGTAATCTTTGTTAGTACAGTTTGTATTCTTACCTCTACTCTTTGAGTTTAGGAATAGGGTTATGTTGGAAGAAAAATCCAGGTCCAGTTCCAAGCTGGGAATAAAATGGAGGCTGCTTAAGAAAGAAAGGTCCGTTTACTGATGTACAGAATCAACACACACACAGCGTGCAGTTCTGGCACAGCTAACAAAATGGAGTTGAGAGTGAGTGAGGTTTTTTTATAATCTTGATTCCTATGGGGTCATGTAGGGGTCATGGCTGGCTCTATAGGCAAAGGGGGAAATGCAAATCTTTTCTTTGAGCTAATCTTGTCAATCTTTGGCTTGCCTAATTGTGTTGCTTATCTGAAGTTTCTATCTGACCCAGTCTTTCTGAATGGATTACCAAATCTGCACTTCTAAAAGGTGGCCTCCTCAGTTTCTGCTTGGGGCGAGGAGACTGGGGCTGGTTTCTGCCTCCTTAAGATTTTTTCCCATTTTTCCTTTAAGATAAATATTCTATCCTGCCTTTTTTTTAATATTCCCCAAAATATTTCATTCTCTAGGAGGGTGGGTGGGTGGGTGCTGATTTTCTACAGTTATAAACAGAATAGCTGAGTACATATCCTTTGAATTTCAGTGAAGGATTCTATCTAAGCTAAGCCTTCAAATAAAATTCTGGTCCTGGCCTACTAGTTCATATTCTTCATATCAACAGCTGACCAGAATAGCTGTTAGGACAGCCTGTTTTGATTCTTTGTTAAAGTGAAGCAACACAGTTCTACAATCTGCTTCATTTCATCTAACCAGAACCATGAAGCTCCAGAAGGTAAAACCCTCAGCAAGGCAGACTGGGATGATCAGTGGTGTTCACAGGGTCAACAACATCAAAATGATGAGCAGGACCCAGGGTAAGTATCACCACACATGAGGCTTCCTCACACAGCTATTGATTTACCTTATTGAACCAAATACTGCATGATAAGTAGCAGTTAATTCAAAGAGTAGCCTAATTGTGATTTGCAGTTAAGGCTCAAGATCTAATCACTTTATTATCAAAATTAAAAATGATCAATTTCTTCTTGTTCTTCATGATTTTAGTAAAGAAAGAGGTTATTGTTGGCAAATATTGTTGCTTGTAAAAATAAGCCAGAATAGAAGTATAAAATGTAGTCTGCTGGACTCAGTAAGGATTCTTTCTATTTTAAGAATATCTCCCCAGAGTTAGAGTTTAGAAACTACAAAATCCATTTTATCTGTCAAACTTCTATTGGCAGACAGACTGAAAGCAATTAAGCAATCTTGCATTTCATTTCAACCCTAAACTACAAATATTCTCTTTCATGGAATCTTGCATGAATTTGCAAGAGTGTCAATGTGTCAAATTATGCTTTATATAAGAAATAATATTTAGAATTTATTGGACTCCATTATGTTGGTATAGAGAAAGACTGTCAAAATTGCATTTTATTGGAGATGTAATACACATTTTTACAAGGTCCTGACTTATTAAGTTTTGGTAGTAGATTATATAAATGTAGCTTTTGTGACAAAAGCTAAAATTTCAGATTATAGTGTTCTCTTGAATTACATACCTAGTACTTGGAATCTGACAACCAGACAACTGAAATGAATTTCTGTGCTCTTAATATATCCAAAGACTGGTAATGCTACATTGGAAAGATAAATACTGAATGGATTGTCTATATATAGACTTTGTATGGACAAGTATAATGAAATATAATTTTTTACAAAAATATAGTAGCTTAAAATATGATAGCTATATAAATTATTACAAATATATATGTACTTGGATAATAATTGCATTAGATAACTATATATAAACATGTAATTTTTTACTGCTCAAATCCTTTTTCATTTTTTTCTCTTTTCACTTTTTCAAAAGCTTCTTTTATATTTTTTTCCTTTTCTTTTCCTTGATTATATATGGATTTTTATCATCATTATCTGTGTGTTTGGGTTTTTCTTTTTTGTCATGACCTTAAAAGTAATAAAAATTAAAAAACAAAAAAAGCTTGCATGAATTTTTCATAAGTCATAACTAAAGATTCATACAACTACAGTATTTCAAGCATAAACCCCATGCATAGATTTAGCATTCAAGCTTTTATTTCCCTTTTGTGCACCTAACATTAACAGATTACTTGGCCTTCGTTTAGGGAAGGAAGAAGCCCTTTTACCATCTGTTCCTTTTTTAGAAAATATTCTGATCTCTCATGTTGTTCTCTGTGTGAGAATGAACTTCAAAATATTACCCTTTCAATTCATGAGATTATTTTTCTGTAGTTAATTTGATTGTTTTGTTTGTTTAGCGCTCTCTGGTGGATCACAAAAATAAGTATCAAAATTTCTGTTAGAAAACTGAATTAACTTTTTTAATTCATATTTTTGCTTTGCACACTTCTATTTAGAATCACATTTAAGTTATACCAAGCATTTGTACACACATCTGCATTATCTTACATTTGTTATAAATTTTGAGTTGAAATATTAATAGATAACTACTTTCAATATTTTTCTAGGCCAACGGTTACTTCAAATAAAACATGATTACAAATTGACTTTTAAATGCATCCAGCATTTTTAATATATTCTTAAAGTAATGTTAAAATCTTGATTTTAAGTATGGTAAGCAGTGTTGAGAAAGTTTCTTTCTTGCTATGACATATAAATTTTAGAATGATCTCTCTTTAGGAACTAAGTCCCCAGGTTTTCTCCTTCTTTACTTTGCATTTTGCAGCAAGTTATTATTATTTTTACTGATTAATACTGTTTTTGAACCTCTAAATGACTTTGTCATATTTTAGACTTCGGTTATAATGTTAACAGTAATACAATTTTGATGTACATTTCATGTATTTCCTTAACTTCATCAACTTCGGATTACAATTGAGACTGGAATTGCACTCATTGCCTGAAGCAGTAGTTAAGCAAGTTGTCACATGATCAATTCACTAAACAACAGCAACCTGCCTCTTTTAGTTAAAATTATTAAGTGATTTTGCAGATTATTAAGCAAAGTTCCAGTTAAGGAATGTAGTGGTGTCTCAGTGGGATAGGGGAGATCTGGTGCACGCCAAGCATGACAAAGCCATAGCCACACTTGAAAGCCTCAGCTGCCCACATATCCCAGCAGTTCATTCAAAGCTGCCACATCTCTGGAAGGGTCAGCTGCCTACCTGGCCTAATTGAGGGTCCTGCAACCCCATTTATCTCCTTCCTATACCTTTTTTGAGCTCCTTTCACAATGACACTTGTCAGTAGCAGCAGCTCCAATGCAGGGCCTGAAGTAGAGGCCTAAGGACTTCAGTAGCCTCAACCAGGTACCACTGCCTCCAAGTCTTTATCTTTATTTATCCTGAAGGTTGCTACTGCAACTGAAAAATGCTGCCTCATCCCCACTTATGCCCTAGCACATCAACACCATTCCATGAAGTCCTAAGTCCTAAGTCCTGAGAAGACCCTGGATGTGGCGGTTCAAAGGTCAAAGCGAAGGAGGGAGTCATCCGACCATGACAAGGGCTCGATCACTATATCCCCTATCTCAAGATCACTCAACCACTGACCAGAGACAAAAACCAAGTCCAGAGTGTTTCCCCCCATGTGAGTAGGGCCATGAACTAACTGGGTCAGGTCCATGGCCGTCATGGAAGTCATGAACTCCCAAGCCACCTCAGATGCCTCACCGACAGATGGCAGGTTAAAATCCCCCATGACCATAAGCCTGGGGGTATCAACCGCCACCGCGGCTATAACGTTGAGCAGCTCGGGCAGGGACACTGCCACATGGCAGGGAGCCAGGTACGTAACCAGCAAGCCCATCTGCACCCCGTGACCCCACTTCACAAGGAGGGACTCACATCCGGCCGTCTGAGGAACAGTGGCCTCCCTCGGACCAAGACCTTCTTTAATGACAACTGTCACACACACCCCGCCCCTCCCGTGATCTCGGCTGATGAAATGCACGAAAACCGGGTGGGCACATTTCAATGAGGTGGTCCCCCCCTCCTAGCCCAACCAGGTCTCCGTACTACCCGCCAGGTCCGCTCCGTCCTCCTGAACAAGATCGCAAATGAGGGGGGCTTTATTTACCCCAGACCTGGCGTTGCATAGCATCAGCCGAAGGCCCAGGGCCTAAGAGTCTGTGCAACCTGGGGAACAAGAGGAGCATTGGAGGCCGGAGCATGCCACCGCTTGGAGACAGTGAGCGTGCACTCCCACAACATATGGCCTCCTGCTCCCGCCATGTCTACCCCTCCCACCCACAGTACTGATATAATGTCCATCAACAAAACAAGCTCTAACCCCCTCCTTGACCCCGAGTCCCGCACCTCCCAATAATAATTGGGCTTATTATCAGGGATATCTTATTTTGGGGAAAACAGGGTACAAGCAATGAGTATATCATATGTGAAACTGTATCAGCATTTCAGCAAACCTCCTTTCCATGCTGAAGGGAATCAACAATAGGCAGATGATCTGAATGTTTTTTACTGTAAGTTTGAGGGGGGAAAACACTTTCAATTATCACCACCATCTCCAACTCAGATACACCAACAACAGCCAAGCCTCATACAACTGACCCCATTCCTTTGGGCACCCCACCTCGGATGATCACAGAAAATGATGTGCAAGGTCTATTTCACAGACAAAAGCCTGAAAAAGCATCAGGCCCAGACAAGATAACTCCTCTTTCTTGAAAGCTTGTGCTGAACGACTGGCCCACATCTTCGCCTGCATTTTTAATAAATCACTAAAGATACGTTATATTCCTTCTTGCTTCAAACGTTCTACTAGCAACCCAGTGCTGAAGAAACCCTCCACCAAGGAGCTGAATGACCACAGACTGGTTGCTCTGACATCCGTTATGAAAGCCTTTGAAAGATTAGTGCTGGTCCATCTGAAAACCATCATAGATCCACTGTTAGACCGCTTGCAGTTTGCCTACCGAACAAATAGATCAGCATATTATGCTGTCCATATGGCTCTGTACTACATCCTACAACATCTTGAATCTCCAAGGACCTATGCAAGGGTCCTTTTTATAGACTTCAACTCGGCATTCAATACCCTCATTCCAGATATTCTAACTAAACTGATTCAGCTAGCCATGCCTGACCACACTTGTAAGTGGATCATAAGCTTTCTAACAGACAGGAAGCAGCAGGTGAAGCTAGGCTGTGTGCTCTCTCCACTTCTCTTCTCTGTCTACACCAGTGATTGCATCTCAAAGGATCCATCTCTTAAAGTACTGAAGTTTGCAGATAATACAACAGTGATTGGTCTCATTTGAGACAATGACGAATCTGCATACAGATGGGATGTGGAACAACTAGCCTTGTGGTGCGACCATCAAGAAACCATCTTGAAGTCAACACACTCAAAACTGTACAAATAATAGTAGATTTTAGGATAAGCCCTCCTATTCTACCACCTCTTACAATAATAGGCAACACAATATCAACAGTAGAGACTTTCAAATTTCTAAGTTCTATAATAACTCAAGACTTAAAATAGACATCTAATATAAAAAATGTCATCAAAAGAGCACTACAAAGAATGATCTTCCTGCGCTATCTCAGAAACTCAGAAAGCTCAGACTGTCCAAAGAGCTGCTGATACAGTTCTACAAAGAATTATTCAGTCTGTCATTTGCACCTCTATAATTGTCTGATTTGGCACTGCAACCAAAAAAGACAATCACAGACTTCAACGAATAATCAGAACTGCAGAAAAAACAATTGCTACCACCCTACCTTCCATTGAGGACCTGAATACTGCACGAGCCAGAAAGAGGGCTGTGAAAATATCTAGACACCTCATATCCTGGACATAAACTGTTTCGATTTCTTTCCTCAAGAAGACACAATAGAGCAGTGTTGGAGAACCTTTTCGGTACCAAGTGCTGAAACAGGAGTGCTGCACATGCGTACACGAAGACCAGCTGGCTGGTGCGCATGCGTATGCTGGAAACCAGAAGAGCAGCTGTCCGGCACGAATGCTCGCGCTGAGATGATCTTCTGGTTTCCGGCACACACATGCATTCCGGAGGCAAATTCCTCGTGTGTCCTATCACACTTGGCCAATAAAAAAATCTATTCTGTTCTGTTCCATTCATTCCATTCTGTTCTGTTCCTTTTCCTATTCCTATTCTTGCCAACCTGTAATGGAAGCCAGTATCTATCTGTTTCTCTCTTCCATCTGGATCTGGATTATCTATGATATTTGGTTCAGTTACCTGCTTCTTCATTGTTTTTGCAGGTTCACATACCTGCGTCTTTGTTTTGTGCACGAGAGAATGGTTTTAAAAATAAAAACTTGATTCTTGCACTTTTAAGATAAAAATATTTGAAATTTTTCATTTCAAAACAGGTAAGATATTGCCAAGAAAACCTGACAATAAATCTGGTGTAACATTAAACCTGAAACCATGTATTTTTGGCCATTTTAGCATATGTAGTAGAATCCATTAAACAACTGCTTATGTTTGTTCCGCTGCCAGAATATAGCAAGATGCTGCATCTCAGGATTTCAACCATATTCCAAAGTGTTCTGCTTCCAGATTCTCTTTTTGTCTCCCTGGCCTAAGAAAGTGAAAATGAGAGCTGGTGTCTGAGATATAAGAAATTATCCTATATGGTTGGACAGTGCTAGAAAATACCTTTAGATCTCCAATGATATGGCTACCAGTAAGCCATGAACATGATACAGAATGAAACTTGCAAAAAGATTTTTCAAAATTTACCACATGATGTCACCAGTTCTACACAAAATAAGCAATTAATCTGCTCTGACAGTTTCTTTGAATGTATCAGGGGCAGCCTTTTTAATTATACAATAATATTTAATTGTCTAAATTGTTCAGATACTGAAGATTTATTTCTGTCTAACAGCAACATACTTTATAATCACCTAGTATATGTCACCAAACATCAATTCTAGTAGAGTTTATAGCTTCTCCGTCAAATATTTTTCTTTCCACTTGAATAATATTATAGGAAGCACTTGGACAGAGATTTGTGGGAACAGGAATTCAGAAATCACAGAGCAAAAAAAGGAAAATATTTAGTGCAGACATGTTAGGCAGTACATTCAATGGAAGGACCAAATTGAATCAGACATTTTTCAATGTTGGCCTTTCAATCCATTGTACATATCATGTAGAATGACCAACACTAATTAGATTCATAGTAGATGACTAATTAAAATTAAAATGAATAGTAAGAGAAATTAAAATTTCCCTTTCCTGTGCCCCAAATTGAATTCCCCAATATATTTTTTTAAATCCAGCAACAAATGTCATATATAGGTTACCATATTTATCATGCTATTCAGAATAACTTGAGAAGCTAACTTTTCAGACTGGGCAGATAGCAGATTACAAATCAATGTAATGGGACTTATCAGTGTGCCATAATGATGAAAGATTGCAAAAAAAAAAAAAAAAGTTATTAGCAAGGAGGTTCCTCTAGGAGTCCAAAGGAAGCAGATTATCATTCTATGAAATGGGAGGGATATTTGTCTTAAAAGTGCAAAAAAAGTGAAATATGAGATGTTCACCATTCCTAACTTCCACAAAGAACACAAAACAAAAGGATTAAATGATAAAAACAGAAAGAGATGCCTTCTTGGCAGTCAAATTAGCTCTGCGTGTTTTTTGTGCGTTTGTGTTTTATTTGAGATTTCTTTGTATTTACTATCAAGAAAACAGACCCATCTGGCACAGAAAAATTATATTAGTTCTGAAAATTGTGTGGACAATGAGGTAACTTTAGTTTTGAATTGCATTGCATTGTTTTACATGTTTACATTATCAAGATGTTTTGTGTATTGCCAGAACTTGCACATACACTAACATTTTGTATCTTGCTAGAACTAGATCATATACTAAAGACATACACTTGCACATATACTAAATTTACACATACACTAAAGTGTTGACAAAAAGTGAATCTTTTTTGTTACCACACTTTGTATAGTATTTTACTAATTCATATGCATATTTATATACAGTGCTTTATAAAAAGTATTTTAGTATACTCAAACATTTATTTTAATAGATCAGTGTAACAATAGGACAAAAATATCTTTAAAGAAGAAATAATATGTACAGTTGTACCCTGTTTGCTTCCAGATAACACAATAAACAGAAATATGTAGGTAACAAAATTGTAAACTATGGTAAATTTTATAGGCTAAAATTTTAGAATATTTTTACATGAACTGGTTTGACAAACAAAATGCAATAGGAAAGGAACAGGAAAATAATTCCCTGCCTGTCTGGAAATCAAAATTAAACAATGGCACTATGCATTTCAAATTCTTAAAATATCATCAAAAACAGTTTTAAACCATTTGGTTGGGCACACATTTGTTTTATACACACTATGTGTAAACGCACACATACACATACAAATGGCTATTGTAGATAATTTTTCTGCTCTTATGATTTTTACCCTAGGCTAATCTGTTAATAACATCTACTTCTTTCTATTAAAAAGATCCCTATATAAAACCTAATCGTCATCCCAGAATCCTTTCTTTTTCATCAACAAGTTTAATCATGAGGAAAATAGATGCTATAGTTCCAACTCTTTATTCTAAAAAAGAAAATTAAAAAATAAACATTGGACAGCCTTTGACACACTAAATAAATATGTTCTTTTCCAACTGCACGATTACAGATACATATTTGCATATAGCATCAGTTGGAGCAGCCTTTAAATAATTTAGTCTTATTTATTTGTATTTATAATACATAATAAATTTATTTATTGGAATGTATAATTTCTTTGTATTTATATTCTTTATGGAACTTACAGTTTAATAAATTTATCCAGGCACCATTTCATTTGTTCAGAATTACATACAAAAGCATGTTGCATGGGTTCCCAATAAATTAACAGAATGAAAGATTCTATTATTTCACTAGGCTACAGTTCTCTATACATTTATTGGAACAAAGTCACAACAAATTCAGTCAATTACAAATGGAATGTATCATTAGCTACTAAAATGTTCCATTATATGTCTACTTAAATAGATATTATTCAGATAATCTATGTGGCCTCTGGTCTATAGTGAAGATCAATGGACTTTTTAATCTACATTTGTCAGTCTATACAAAGGTTAAACAAACGTATCTACTCTCTCTTTTGATTTTTAATGTCAGCTTAAAATCCTTGATTTCTGTTATTAGACAAGATCATATTATTTACGGCTTTTTGTATAATCCATACAAATATAAATTGGTATTGCATGCTGATATTATTTTATGAATTTTATATTTTGATTCCAGGTTTGGTTCACACTATTAATATATTTTACATTATTTTCTCAACTCAAACTTTTAGTTATTTTATTTATAATAGAACTCTTATTACATGTAATATAATAAATATTAAGAATTCACTATTCTTTTCTTGGGGAAGCTCTACAATCATTACTGTTATAAATGGAATTTATCAAAAATTATTTTAAAAAAATACTTAACCAAAATTAGAACTATACATTTTTTTTCTTTACAAAGAAGTGCTATTTAATCACAACCACATAATATTCTCAAAAAATTCATCAGTAGCTGCATTTTTAAAAAGCAAATATTACAGATTTTAATGTATATTAAAATATAAGCTTTCATCATTACCATGTATTGCTATGTATCAATAATTTAGCTTAAAATACATGACAGAATATATTAGTTTCCTATTGGTCAACTTGATATCCTATCCTTATTAAGTAGCGTTTCAGCAACATATTGATGTTACTAATAATGGAGATAAAGAATCAATTTCCATTATGCTCATAACTACATCCAGTTTCTGAATATTCAGTGAGATCAGAAAAAAAGCTATTCTTCGTTTTTATATTTCCATCAGCTTTTCTATTGAAGTTTCAGATTTCTTACACATATGAAGGAAAGGATGTTCCTTCAACCAGTGGAGACATCCTGCTTCATCTATACTGTTTACTAGGTTCATTACAATGCCAAAGCATTCTGCAATAAACTAAGTATGCTTAATGCAGACTAAGGATACCTAAATTTATGCACACTAGAGCACTTTCCATACTTTTAATATGTTCAATTGGGATTCTAGGCTTGCTCAACTCTAATGAATGCATGTCATGGATTTGTTTGAGATGCAGGTCTTAAAGTCTTCTATCTATTGTATCCTCAGGGGAAAATACCTATAATATAGAAATTAAATTTCCATATCACCAACTTATCGTGAATTTAAAAAATAGAAAAGGGATTGTACTCATTCTGTGATAAAACCAGTATCTCCATGATAACCTTTCCCTGTATCGAATAGTTAAAAATTCAGGACATATTTAGATTCTATCACTAGTTTTGTAGAAAGTATCTCAAAAATTTTTAGAACTGTTGATTACTTTTAAAATATAGTAGCAGTGCCATTCACAAGGAGGAAGGAAATGATAAATTAAGGATAAATTTCTATTTTATTATTTTTAAAATTATATATACATTGATAATATTTTTTACAAATATTTTAGCTGTAATTTTGGCTTTAGAAACCTTTCAGAATGTAATAGATAAAGTTAAATGTTTCATTAGGCTTTCTAGTTAAGCCAGGAAGGTGCCATTTTCTCACTGAAAAAAAGTTACAAACTTTGTTTTGCTCCAGTAAGCAAAGACGGGGATCAAAAATAGTAGAGCAGTATTATTAATACAAAAAGAAAAGTGCTGTGCTGACCAAGCAAAAGATCTGTTTATACTTTTAGCATCTTTAAAATAAAAAGTTACAAAATAACTAAGTTTGAATGTACCCAAATTAGTAATAAGTCTAGATGCTAAACAAAGGCAGAAAAATTAAATAGTTTATAAATAAGTGCTATATATTTACAGTGTGTTTATTTACATATCTAGCTACTCCTCATCGCTAGACAAGACAGCATCACATAAATCCAATAAAGAAAATAAATCTAGAGATTGTTGTCAACAAATCTTGGATTACACTAATGACTAAAGAGCCAGAGAAACAGGGCTGCAAATTATTCAGCTGCAATTTCATCTAGTAAGTACAAACTATAACTCACTAATGCTACTTCCATAAAGTAACGAGCAGAAGCTCTACTGAATGGTCATTGGACAACATATAAAACAGGAATTATGTGCTTTTGATGTCCAAAGGCCCTTATGATGGTTCATGTCTCTAGCTTGTAAAAACAAGTGTGCTAACATTTCAACCATAATAACACAAGGGCTATCAATAGATTCAAACTCAATGTTAATCACTTTAATCTTGATTCTAGGAAATATGACTTCTGCAATAGAGTAGTAAATGTCCGGAACACTCTACCTGATCCTGTTCTTAGACTCTCTAATCCCATACCTTTTACCTTAAACTGTCTACCGTGGACCTTTCATTTTTCTTAAGAGGTCCCTAAGGGGGCGTGCATAAGCACACCAGCGTGCCTACCGTCCCTGTCCTCCTGTTCCCATTTATATGTAATCATTCTATGTGTTTATGGCTATGTTTTGCCTATTTATATCCTTTTATTTGTGCCAATTTTTTTTTATGTGTCCATGTCTATGTCTATATCGTTACTTGTTGCCTTATACTTGTTTTGCAACAAATTTATAACAAAATGAAACAAAGTAGCTGGTGGATATTTTGAAATCAGAATTCAGTTTTAAGATATTTGTACATTAGTCTTTTGTCTATGCATCATATAGTAGAAGCGGACTTGCTGTGCTGGCAGGCTGCCTTTACATTCTGTAACACATGCAAAGCTTCCTGCTTCTCCAGCACTTACTTGTGGGTGAAATAACAATTCTAAGATAATTATCCCAATAGATGTAATTAAACACTGAAGGGGAGTTGGTAACTTTGCTGCATAGTAGCCTGTATGTGCTGATCACTGCAAGTTCCTTTGGAGAAATGTAAAAACTATTTTCCATCTAACTTGGTAAGAAAATCTGCCATGACAAATCCTAAATTGCTTTTAAGCAGTGTTGTTCTGTGTCTTGGAAAGCCAGTCCTATTCATAGGCAGTAGGGCTATATTTCTTATCAGTTAACACTGGCTCCACTGTGTCAACTATGTTGTTATGTTTACTTAATAGCTGGTTTTCAAATCCTCTGAAATCAAAAAATGATTTCTGAATTGGTTTTGGGTTGCTTTCTCTGTCAGAAATGCTTCTCAAAACTTACTCTGCACTCCTGTAGAAAATAAGTTTCTAGGGTTTTTTCCCTTGTTATTCAGGTTGGAGACATTATTTTAAAAAAATAACCAAATACTGATTATTAGGATATCAAATAGCACGGATGTGATTCATGATCACAGGTTTGTTTGGGATTTTTTGCTATTACACTGATTGGCAAATAGTCTAAACACAGTTCATCTGGCAGGGCAAGGATTAATTTCTTATACTAAAAAGACATAATAAAACAGAAAAAGCAACATAAAACTTTAAAAAAAAAACAAATGGAAAAACTACTGTGGACTGTTTGCCTACTGCAGTGATGACCATATCTAAACCTAGTAGCTACTAGTCTCAATTGAGGCAAACGCAAAACATCTTCGTATTGTGTATATTAAGCAAAGCATTTTAAATATAATACTTGAAAAACCATTGCCAAACATTGGAACACAAAGAGCCATTTTTGCTAGGATTCCAGTGAAGTGTGCCCAGTGAATTCTGATGAGAACAAAGCCAGCTGTCTTCTAGAGGTCTTCTTAGGAAAGGATCGATCACAGAATTTTACTTCAATGTTCCCTTCACTGAATGCTCCTCTTCTAGTCTCTTCCAGGGAGACCAACTCTCTTCTACAGGCCCCCTCCTCATGCTGCATCGTTGTGACTTTCAAGTTTTTATGTTGTCTGAATGAAGACAAGTTTTCTTTCATAATGCAAAAGCAAATTGCAGAAAGGAAGTTCTTCTTGAAGTTTTCATTCATAAAGGCATATACAATTGGATTGCAAATGGAATTAGCAAATCCAATTACCTGGACAATTCCAAATATCATCTTAATAGTGACATCATCATATTCTCTTTCAAAATTACCTACACAGAGAAAAATATGTTTAAGCATCTCTTCAATGGTATACATTAATTATCTATTCAATCATTTATCTCATTATGTATCTGAACGAGTTAAGTAGAAATAAAAATCCAATTATTCCAGAATGAAATTTATACCAAGCTAATTATAAGACATGTTCAAGAAATTCATTAAGAATCATGCTATTAAAATTTTATCTGCTATATACATAATTTATAGTGAATAACTTAATAAGCTGATGACTAATAAACTGGCTCATGCCTTACAAACACACAAGCCTATAACTTCTTTTGTGTGTTTGTGTGCTTTCAAGTAAATTTTTGGTTCCCGGAGATTGAACAAGTCCCTAGAGTTTTCTTGGCAAGATTTTTTTCAGAAGTAGTTTGCCATTGTCTCCTTGCTAAGGTTAACAGAGGGCGACTGGCCAAGGTCACCCAATTAGCTTTGTTCCTAAGGCAGGACTAGAACTCATGGTCTTCAGTTTCCAGTTGAACTTCCAGCACCTTTGGAAGCGAGATCTGCGACCTCCATGGGTCTGTTCTGAGCTCTCCCTGTCGGGTGCTTCATATTGAAGCCATAGTCACCCTGTAGGGGTGGTGAAGCAAAGGGGGACTGCTTTGCAGGTTGAGGGAAGCCGCATATCCTCTCCCTGACTCGGAAAATTCCCTCATCTGAAGACTAGAAGCAGCAGCAGTTAATATGGCTGCCATGAAGCCAGGGAACATCCAGAAACAATAAGTTTGTACAGGAGGATCATGTGTTGTCTGGGTAAGAAAAGATTTGCAGCTGAAACCGGACCCCCCCCCCCCAAAAAAAAATTTAAGGGGAATATCTTTTAGAACAATTTGTTACAGTGGCAGGTAACTATTGTGAAAAAGCATATTGGAAATTTAAAGAAGTAAATATTTGCTTAAAAAGAAAATCAAGTTGGAAATGGAATCCCCAAAACAAAAGGTGTGATATTAAGAAAGCATATTAAGATGCTGGAACTATAAACCTACCTTTTCTTCAAATAATTTGTCATAAGTAACGGAGTTATAAGTTAAACTAGGCAAGAGAAATAAATTGGATTTGTCAAAATAAAAGCTAAGCAGCAGCAGAGTCAAAATAAAAGCAGAGGCAGCAGAGTGAAGTAAAGAGTGCCATCTGCTGATGACAGTTAATTTTTGCAGCTTGGGAGCAAATATTAAAATGAAGGGAAATAACTGTTGAACTATACATATTTACCTTCTAACCACTGGAGACTGGAATATTTAAAAAGAATTTGCATCTGGGGACCCCTAAATACTATTGGATATACTTGAGGAAACAACTTGAGGAGTGGAGGATCCCTGAAGTAACTACCTGATTTGATTGAACATTGATGAGACATTTAAATTTGACTTGGTTTCTGAATTGACGATTGTGGAGACTCAAACGGAATAGAGTTAATGATTCAAAACATTAAGGACATTAAGGACCTTATCTGGAACTACACAAGGACATGGTGGAAATATGTGATCTTATAGATAGAAGACAGGAAAATTGTATACAAGAGACAAGGAGTAAAGACCAGGACAAGAAGGAAAGAATGGAATCATCACCTGGAACAGAAGGGAAATTAGAACTGAAAAAACAGCAAAAAGAAGATAATGAGGAAGAGACACTATTAAAATTAATAAGAATTGAGGAATTAAAACAGAAGGAAACCATTTTAAAAGATTTTTAAAAGAAATGGGAGGAACGGGAAGAGGTTTGGAGGGAAACGATAGGATTCAGAGTAGAAAGCTTTCAAATTAAACAATGGGAAAAGACACGGCAAGGAGAAAAAATTAAATTATGGATTCAGAATATAAACTTTGAAGTAGTTGGAATAAAAGACTTAAGAAGGAAACAGGGGAGACAAGTCAAAAAAAAGGTAGGACTAAAGGAGGGAATGTGGATAAGAGATAATGGTTAAGGGGAGAAAAAGAGATTTATATGTCATAATTATATGTTAATAATTGTATTAATATTAGAATGATATAGACTGGACAATTAGTTGGCATTTAATATAAATAAATATTAGGAAAACATTATCACAAACAGATATAAAACTGGAAAATTATGAATAAGAATTCATTATTAATTGGAAATGAGAGGTTGAATGATGGTATTATTAAAAGTGTATAAAATATGACTATTGTGTAGGTAATGTGAAAGTAGATATATTTATGTGTATTAACAAACTTTAAAGTATACAGAGAGGAAGAGTTAAATAATGGGAATATGAATAACAAAACAGAGTATCAGAGTATCATGAAATTTAGAAAGGGTGTAAAGCAATGTATCACAAAGTCAAATAAGTTAGGAAAACAAACATGAAAAATAGACACAAAGAATGAAAATGGTGGTAAGCTTGAAATGTTAGGATGCAAGAAACTGGTATTCAGACGGTATGCTGTTTGATCAATGAAGTGATGTACTAAGAATAATATTGTAGTTGCATATATATATATATATATATATATATATATATATATATATATATATGCAACTACAATATATATATGATTTTGTATGTAAATTTATTAATATGATTAATCAATATTATATTATTATTATTATTATCAATAACATGTTTAAGTGATTAAGTCTGTTTCTTTTATTTTTGAATGTAACTTTAAGAAGTTGTATAGTTATAGTTGAAAGAGATATTAATTGGAAAATACACCATATCCTGTAGCTATTGGGAATATTGTATAGAACAACGAAAAGAGAGAGGGAAATGGAGCGGAGTGGAAGGGAGAAAGAGTAAGGGTAGAGAGGGGAAAGGAGAGAGGAAAGTGGAGGGGAGGAGAAGAGTAGAAAGGGAAGGAGAGGGAAGTGGAGAAAAAGAGAAAGGGGGAATAGGGGAGAGGAGAAGGAGAGAGGGAAATAGAAGGAAAAAGAGGAGAAGGAAGGAGGGAAGTAGAAAGAAAGAGATGGGAGAAGGGAAGAGAGGGAGGAGAAAGAAGAGGAAAGGAGAGGGATTGGTGTTGTAAAATTGGGAAATATGGTGTACAAGAGAAAACAGTCGGACAATTTCATATTTTTTCTATTTGAGGGTTATACTATTGAAATTATAATGAAAGATTAAACGTGGACGTTAAAACATATTTAGATGTTATTGCATACTTGTTAATATTTATATGAAAATAAAAATTTTGTGTAAAACATTGGGTTAAATAATATGGAATAAGGAAATGGAATGTAATAATTATGAATATGTTTATCTGTATTGAAATGTATGATACTCAAACACTACACCATCTCATAATGATATGTATATATTTTTTAAAAAATAAAAACTTGATGAAAAAAAATAGAACTCATGGTCTTCCAGTTTCTTAATTAATATTATTAATTTAATTAACTTTAATTAACTTAAAATATTAATTTAATTAACAATATTAAACTATGATTGCCATATACAGTATTTCACTAATCTTTTTTTTAAAAAATATTCTCTGGTATCCTGAAAGCAGCAACAGTATGAATCATATTCATTCACTATTAGTTGATAGACATATCTCAGGCAACTTTCCATATTCTATATGTATATAGATATATACATATTGTTTTCTCCTTTATTAGCAGATGGATAAAAAAGCTTTAACCATGTGAAGATAAGACATTAAAGTAAAATAAAAATATATGTCAAATTGTACTGCTTTTCTATGGGTGGACAGGAACCCAATTAAGTAAACAGAACACCAAAACTCTGATCCCTTCGGCTTTATTATTACTTTCAAAGGCCAGAATCATAGTGCAATTCAGAATTGTATATGAACAATCCTGAGATAGTTTTTCTTTTAAAAACCCTGATTGTTGAAGACAGTTTATAATGATGAGAAGTTTAAAAAAAGCTCTTGGGTGAATCTATAAAACTCACTTCATAATAAGACTAAATTACAAAAGTCATTTATCTGTATGGGCCATTCTCAATGGACTCTCAAAATGCACTATAATTCAACTTTGCAAGGAAGGGACAAGAGGGAAATGTATATATAGAGCCTTGGTGGCGCAGCAGACTAAAGCACTGTTAAGTAACACCAGCTGCCTGCAATTACTGCAAGTTCAAATCTCACCAGGCTCAAGGTTGACTCAGCCTTCCATCCTTTCGAGGTAGGTAAAATGAGGACCCAGTTTGTGGGGGCAATAAGCTGACTTTTATAAAAAAGAACACCGCTGGGGGGGGGGACGAAAGCCCTACTAAGCAGGTATATACAAAAAAGTATGAAGGCTATTACTTAATGCATTGTAAGCCACCCTGAGTCTCTGGAAAAGGGCGGCATATAAATCAAACCAATAATAATAATAATAATAATAATAATAATAATAATAATAATAATAATACTCAGTATGGTATAAAAGACAAGGCATAAAGAATAACAGATATAAGTAATTGCAATGTACTCAAATGTAAATAGCTTTCGTGTATAAATAAGAGGCTTTTAAGATGACTTTCAGGCCTGACAAATAGAATGCAGGGGACTAAATATTATTAATTTGATTAAGCTTGACTCATACATCCCAGTAAACATGAAAAATTGTCTTTATTGGAATATATTTATTATAATAGCATATATAAAATCCAATATTCTGGTGTAATTTAATATATTATCTTGTTTACTTTCTTTATGCAAAACAACCCCCCTCTCTGCTACTATTTAACAAAAACAAACTACTCACTGTATTCTATTAACATGTGCATTACATGGAAGGGTGTCCAACAAATAGCAAACAAAACCACAACAGTCACCATCATCACGATTGCTCGCTTCTTCTTTCTGAAAAGAGAAATAGTTTGGACTGTTGATCGAAATCACTTTGATAAGGAGGCAAAACAAATAATTTGTATGAAGAAAAACTAGATCTCAGTAGGAAGAAAGATACTTTGTGTGCAGAAAATCCTATATTCATATATCTAGTTAAATGTTTAACATTTTATTTTTAAAATAAATTATATCCTGTCCTTCTTGAGAACATTCTTTATACAGCAAGGCAGGCAATATGGAAATCCAAAATTAAAATAATTTAAAGGTATGATTTTAAAGCTGTGGTGGCGCAGTGGTTAGAATGCAGTACTGCAGGCTAATTCTGCTGACTGCCAGTTGCCAGCAGTTTGGCAGTTCGAGTTTCACCGGCTCAAGGTTGACTCAGTCTTCCATCCTTCTGAGATCGATAAAATGAGGACCCAGATTATTGTGGGCAATATGCTGATGTTGTAAACCGCCCTTGATCTGTTTTCACCAGTCATGCTATGTCAATACTGGAACAAGGAGAAAGCCCTCTCCACTGAATCTTATAGAACAACAGGCTGGTAATGGATGTAGCATTGTCTACAGGATGTTCTTAAGAGACAGTATTGAGGATACAGTAATACAGGATAATTTAATGGAGGAAAACAAAAAACAAACCCCCCTCTCATTAAAAATGAAGAAAAATAAAAGAAATTAAGAGATGGATGCACATATTAAGTCATAAAACAGTTTGTCGGGCAATGTTTTGGCTTTTATATGAATCCAGACACTGTGTTTTGTAAATTATAATTTAAGGGGCCACACAGTACATGAGCCCAGTCATCATAGCTTATTCAAGCTATAATTTAGTTTGAAAGTTGAATTTAAACAATGTATTATAAGGTTTTATGGACTCTGGAAACATTTTTGAAGGCCATCTCTCTGGAGGTCTGAACTGGAATAATTTGATTTTTACTTTAATACCAATACCTATAGCCCAACCCATATTCTTTTCCTCCCTCTTTCCCAAAATTCTGACTTGCAACTCTTCAACTCTTCAAGTTAGAGTGAGCATAATAAAATAATATAAAAGAACATCATAATATAAAGGACCAAGACTCTGCAAATAGCAAACGTAAGAATCCCTCAGTGCTTTATTGGAGTGCTCTTCTTCTTCACATTTAATTATGCCTTGTCACTTTCCAGGTATATTTATTAATTACATGTAGTTCAATTCTATAAAGCTTCATTCAAAAAACAAATCCCTAAAAATAGACTTTAGGAAAAATTTGTTTAGCAAACAATCAATGTCCTTAACCTCACTGGTGTTTTTATAGATTTTTAGGAAATAGGAAAAGATTAATTTATAAGAAATAATATAAAATTATATTAAAATTACAGGAAGCAATATAACAACCTTTTTCAACATAGCAAACATAAAAAAGATAAAATTATATATACCAACCGAGAAATTTTAGACATCTCACTTGCATGAATGCTCCTGAGAACAGAAGCATCTCCAACTCTTTTCTTAATCCAGAGCTCATAACCAATCTTGCTATAAAGCAATAGCATTAGCATCAATGGGAGAAGGAAAAGAATGACCAAAATGAAAGTGGCATAAATTTTTTGGTGGACAGGACTTGGCCATTCTTCCAAGCAGCAAACGTATTTCTTTTCATAAAGGAAGTCATATTTATTCTGCAAGACATTAAGCAGATGTTAGTACAGATTCCTTTTTCAATATATTATCTGTAAGAAAAAAATATCAAAAGATGGAATGTTCAGCTATAGGAAACTATAACTCCAAATGTGGCTCTCATATTAAATCATCCAAGCTTGGACTACATATTTATACATATCAATAAAGCACCAGGGTATGGGCTGATATTCTAGCATACATCTCATCCATTTTATACTCAATAAGCAAACCTGGCTACTAGGAGTTTTATCTGCAGAAAACTGTGATTTTATGACCAAAGTGTACAATCTGCATATTTGAGTTAGTCCTCATTTAGCAACTACAATTGGGATCAGCAATCTTTTACTAAGTGAAACCACAACTGTGTTCATGATATGAATTCAACTTTACTTTGCTTTACAGAACCGTGAAGTTCGTAAATATGAAAATTGGTTGTAAAGTTACTTTTTTAATCACCATCATAACTGCAAATGGTCACTAAATGAGGCAATTGCTAAACAGTTGTATATTTCCGATCCTATTAAATTCGTCTATGTGATACAATGATTTATGTCAACTGACTTGATTTATACTGCAGCAATTCAATGCATAATTATCGTAAATGCTATTTCTAACTATATGCTACAGAGCAGGAGTATCTGCAGCATATAGTCAGAAAAAGATGATGGCTGCAATGCTGAGATCAAAGCTCAGTCCAGTTTTATGAATGTTGCACGAGTGATGCATATTTTTTTTATAAAGGCAGAGTTTCAATTGGTCTACTATTTGACATTTATCAAACCCTGCAGACATGAAATGTGATTCTTACATTTCCATTATAGCATTGGAAATAGCATTTCCATTATAGATTATATTCAGCTCCTGAACATATTATACAAAAACATTCCAAATTACAATCCTGAATAAATGCCAGCATACAACACAACTATACCTCCACTCTTTGTACATGCCACATTGGTGAACCAACAGCAGCAGCCAACAGCCAAACAATGCCTAAAAGTAAACAATTGTTGGTGATTTAAGAAAAACAACACAGAATATAAAAATAAAATAATATAATATATGGGTTATTGGCATTTGGTAGTTGTTTTTAAGATTAACCAGTTTGTGAAACATGATCAAAGTGAGAGATGAAATACAACTTTTTTTATCTACTCTCAGAAGATTCAAAGTAATGACCTTTATTTAAAGAAGGGTTAATTACAGAATCCTAAAGATTTGATCTATTTTTTTAAGACCAATATTTGGGGAAGAAAAATAGTACTGTTCAGATGGATATTCTAATTAACTATATTTCTCCATTCCCCATTCATTAAAAATTAAAGGTCATTCTAACTAAGTTCTATTTAAGATAAGTATCTTGATAGCACTGTCAAGAATGCTCATGTAGTCCAAACTCTTTGGAATGCAAATACTTTTACTTGTTACTTCATTGTGGATGAATTGCTGGTCAATATTAGTCATTATGTACTTGCACTAACAGCCCAGTCATTAGCAGAAATAGGAAATACTTTTTAAAAGTCAGAAGAAAATTATATCCATTAGCCCCCATACCAAATCCCTGTATAAATCAGCTCCTTGTCAATCACTTATCACTTCTTAGGTTGATTACAGTGGATTTCTATTTCTATTAATCTAAACATGAACGTACTTTTAGCACATGGGAACCTGATAAAGCAAGATTAATTGTTGCTTGAAGACTGAGAAATTAGAGATGACAGCATGGGCAAAATATCATTGCTGTGACTTAGCTAGAATGTCTGAATGAGATTTAGAATTATTTCAAGAAGTACTAATCTAAAAATACTGAATTACAGTAAAATATTTAAATAAAATCATTAGACATTTTTCTTCCTCTTCTCATCTTTACACAATATTATCACCATTGTATACTATGAATAAGGCATGTTTTCAGAATTAATGTGATAGAAGATGCAGATAAATGCCTTTCCAAAGGCGCTTTGGTTAAGGAACACAAGAGCTTTCATTTTCACATAAATGAGTAGCCAAGGTAATGGCAACACCCAGCTTTGCAGACCATTGTTACGCTAATTTGTGTGAGTTTAACAGTTTCTTTCTTTCTTTCTTTCTTTCTTTCTTTCTTTCTTTCTTTCTTTCTCCGATTATATAAGTATTCTGATGTTCTTTAAATAAAAGAAAAAAAAGTTAAAAATAAGTAATAAAATTATATGGGACCTTACCCAACACTGTATATGCTCTTCTGTGGGTATACTGCCATTTCATTTTTAGAGGGTGAACAATGCCATTATGCCTTTCTAGAGCAATGCAAGTCATTGTAAGTATCTCAGTAACTATTGCAGTAGATTGCACAAATGGCACCATCTTGCAAGCAAAAGCACCTATAAAGAAAAGAAATTAATCATATTATTAATATATTCAGAACCAGGCTCAGCTATATTTGTTCTTATTTCTGAGGAATGTGCAGGTGGCCACATCTATTGATCTTGCCTGATTTCCTAAGCCTTGCAGGGTCACTTTATGGGAGGACAAAGTTAGGAACTCCAGGGAATTGTCTGGACCAAGAAGAAAAGCATTTCCGAAAAAGCCAGTAGTCATGAAAGCTGCATGGATGAAATGCCCAAGTGTCAAATTTGATTCGAGTACATTTTACCTTTATCTTTTTTCTGAAGGATAGATTGTATGTAATATGTACTTTAACAGAATTGATATTCTCTTTACATTGATTTATTTATTTATCATGAAACAGGCAACATCTCAAGAAGCAACATCAATTTTGAATAAGAACTTCTTTGAAATGAGTGGATTAAGCCTTAACTTTATCAATACTAAGTTCAATAGGCACACTTGCTTAAAAAAAATAATATATTTTTCCTTGTTTAAAAAAACAGTGGATAAACATATAAGAACTATATGTGGTAGTGACTTTTCCTGGACCTCCAATATTTTTTTTTAATAAAGTAAGGATTATAATACGAAACACTTGAACTGAAAGTATTCAAGGACTGCCACTTGAGTCTAACACTATGTAACATTATGAATAGTATCTACACTTCTTCTAAAATCGCAACAACATTAAAATTATCTTGCCCATGACTATTTGATGGTATCTGCCATAACGTTTAACAGAAACTCATTTAAAGCAAGGAAATTCTTTCTTTTCTCCTGTCTTTGGTGAATGAGCATGGTTGCCTTCAAAGTAAAATACCCTATTATACACAGTAGAAACATTACAACTGCAGAGAGAAGCACTGGCTATAGAATGCAGTACACTAAATGTTTAAATTCCTCACATTGAAACTAACAGAAAGATGCTTGAAGAAAACATTTCCACAAACTGACAACCAATTATGCAAAGTGTTGTTTTTTTTTACTACTCTTAGCATTTCTTTCTTCCAGAAAGCTTCAGCCCAACTGACTCAAATTGAAAAGCCTTGTCTTTCAAGAAGTAGTGAGGGGTAAACAATAGGAGACAGAACTACCACCCTGCAAAAGTGCTGCAGAGCTAACTGCATGTCATTTAGGACTAATAACGTTGTGTGACCTTTCCAGTATCTTGTAATACCATTAAAATTAAGGCAGCCATGCCAGTTAATTACAATAACTAATATATCATTCAGCATTCCCAAATAACTTTGTTTTCGCATGAGGTACTTATAAATGCCTAGTTTTTGTTATTGTTGTTGTTAGTTGCAAAGTCATATCCGATCCATGGTGACCCCATGGACAACATTCGTCCATGCCTTCCTGTCCTCTACCATCCTCTGGAGTCCATTTAAGCTCACACCTACTGCTTCAGTGACTCCATATAGCCACCTCATTCTCTGTCGTCCCCTTCTTCTTTTGGCCTCAATCTTTCCCAGCATTAGGCTCTTCTCCAGTGAGTCCTTCCTTCTTATTAGATGGCCAAGTATTTGAGTTTCATCTTTAGGATCTGGCCTTCTAAAGACCAGTCAGGGTTGATCTCCTCTAGGACTGACCGGTTTGATCGCTCTTGCAGGGGACTTGCAAAAGTTTTCTCCAGCACCATGGTTCAAAGGCCTCAATTCTTTGATGCTCAGCCTTTCTTATGGTCCAACTTTCACAGCCATACATTGCAACTGGGAAAACCATAGTCTTGACTATACACACTTTTGTTGCAGGGTGATGTCTCTGTTTTTCAGAATGCTGTCTAGATTTGCCATACCTTTCCTCATCTGCAGTAATCTTGGAGCCCAGGAAAATAAAATCTGTCACTAACTGCATTTCTTCCCCATCTATTTGCCAGGAATTGAGAGGGCCAGATGCTATGATCTTAGTTTTCTTAATGTTGACTTTCAAGCCAACTTTTGCACTCTCCTTCTTCACCCTCATCAAGAGGCTGTTTGGTTCCTCTTTGCTTTTTGCCATTAGAATGGTATTATCTGCATATCTGAGGTTGTTGATATTTATCTGGCAATCTTAATTCCAATTTTTGATTCAGCTAGCCTTGCCTTTCTCATGATGTGCTCTGCATATAAGTTAAATAGGCAGGGCGACAGTATACAGCCTTGCCGGACTCCTTTCCCAATTTTGTTTCTAGTGCTTTTCTTTACTTTTCCCTAGTTTTTAGAGATATTCAAAAATGTCCTTACCAATTCCACCCCATGTTTATGGTGATGCTTTTGCTCAAGCTCATTTACAAATCAACTTTATCTCTTTGTTAAGAGCAACACAAATCATCTGCTCCTAGGCATTTAAATAAAATGTGTTTGGCCTTTCTCCCCCCAGAAAAATAAATTATTCCTTTCTCAGTTACAATGAAAAGCCCTAGCTGTTACCTCTACAGAATCATTCACCAGATCTTATATGTAATGAATGGCAATTACAGTTCATTAAACATCAGTCATGTCAATATCTGTTGTATGATAAGATTTAAGGGCAAGAGACTAGCCAATTATAATGCTGAATTTTCAGTTAGTTTGGTAACAAAGTTATGCTTCAAAATGTAGAGAAAAATATTACAATCAAACATCAGTAGACCAGACTCAAAATGTAATTTAAATGTAGAGAAAATGATAAAATTCTAACAAATTGACAGAATGGGCAGCACCTCGCTTCACGTAACCTCTCCAACATATTGTAATGAAACTGCTATAATTCAACTTTCTTTTTTATTTTCAAAAATAAAAATAGAATTAAAAGTACACTTTCCCTTTCTTTTTCGTCTGTTCAATCATGTCCAACTGCTAGTGATTGCCTGGACTTCCCTGCTCCCTTCTTGACAAAGTTTTTCTGAAGTGGTTAGCCATTGCCTCTTTCTTAAGGCTGAAAGAAAGTGACTGAACCAAGATCACTCAGCTGGCTTTGTGCCTAAGGTGAAACTAGAACTTACAGTCTCCTGGTTTCTAGTCTGATGCCTTGACTAAAATTTCCACTTGTATATACTAATTCTAAGTAACATATAAACAAAATTATATTTAAATAAAGTCAGTGATCCATGGTCATGATACCTAGAAATACAAATCAATTATCCAATCATCAATATTACATGCAGACTTTCCCCTGCAATTTGTAATACATAGTTTATGATTTAGTGCAGTTTTTTCCAAAGCCAAAGTGTGTGCCCAGCAGAATTACAACTCTGACATTCTCAGTCAGTATACCATTCTGGTTAATTGCAGGAGCTGTTCACACACATGAACACATTCTAAAATACTAAACCAAAATCAATACTAAACTTAAAAAATCAAGTCCAAGATTGTACTTATACAATCTTGTTTTTCCCCCCAAAACCAGGAATTTATTAGTTCCCCTCCTGATTTTAAATAATCAGAGATAGTGCAATAGTGAAGCAAAATTAGATTTGCATCCACATTCTATGGAGACAGCTTGAAAGTATGCATATAAAATCAAATGTTATTTGTTGTAATAGACCACAATTCTGTGTGATACATAAAACAACAGAAAATGTAATGAAACTGAAACATTAAAAAAGATAAATACAGTACGTAGCTACCTATTCTTTATCATCAACATAATCAATGAGAACTCAATTATATAGAGAGATCATGATTTTATCCTTTTTTTACTTTTCAACAGTCACTGGTTTGCTAATACAGTAAATTCACTTATATAATATAATCTATAAAGTGTTATTGTAAAATATTATAAAATCTCTGTCATAATGATACATATTGCTGCATTCTTCTCAGCAATGAATTTATAGTTATTTTTATATATGATGATAATGAGGAATACTTGAATTACTGAGAAATTCTGTGAAATAAAGTAGCAGAAGAGATCCTTAAAGTAATGTTTGAAAAAGCTGGAAGAAAATCTCATCAGACACATGAGGAGTCTCATCAAAACCCAAGATTAAGATCTATTTTGTGACGATAAGGTGGCAGTAGATGGAATCTTTACTTTAGAGGTTATTAAACAAGCATATGGGTTCCAGAGGCCCCAAAATGAACCTATAATTAATAACTGGTCAAACCATTTAAAATTAAATGGTTTGAAATTAAAGTAGAAAGGCAATCAAATAAGCAGTAATATAGTGCAAATATCTAAAACCAACATTCAAACACTCAAATAACTTACAGTAATAATTTGAGAGAGAGGCAAAGATTTCAGAAAGAAGCATATTTATTTTAATAGAAAAAAGCAGGAGCTTCAGGGAATAACATATTTAATTCAGAGTTTGGAGAGCAACAAACTGAATTCAAGAAGAAAATGGCCTGGAGTCCAAACAGTAACATACTGAGTGCAAAATGAGATAAAAGCATGGATGTAAGAAAATGGCATGGGAAATGAGGGTATGGGAAATGATTGATGGATTATATGCCATCAGCTCTTACCTATAAAAAGGTAATCTTCGATTTACAACCAAAGCTGGGACAAGAATTTCCATTGCTAAGCAATAGAGTTATGAGATATCAAGTGACCAAGATACTTAGCGACAGCAATCCCGACACGGTTATCAACAACTGAGAATCTTGGATTGTTAAATGGGTATGCATCCCACTTCAACACCCTCCCACGTATCTCCTCCATCTATGCTTTTTTGCCCCTGCCAGACTGCACTCCATTGCTCCAGCTGAATTTCAACATCTTGCTCCCACTACTGACTAGGCATGCTCAGCCTTGCCCTTCGCCCCAAGAAGTCCTTTTGCCCTACACTGTTCTGACCTAGGCTTCCTTAGAAAGTAAACAGCACAAACTTAGTCCCAGCAAACCTCTTTAATTTAAATGGCTGTGAATTATTGTCATTCCCAGTCTGAAAGGCTTCTCATACAGTCTATCAGTCACTCACCTTATGTCCCTTGGATTGCTACCAGAGAACTAATTGCCAAATGCAGAGCAAAGCTAAACTTAGCACAGAGTCAAATAGAGCTTTTCCAGAGCTGTTACTGACCAGATG